CAAATTTCTTTAGTTTTGTACGACTCGTGTGTGCAGAGAAGACAACTCCAATGCTCAAGATTTGAAAAGTTGCAAAAGTTAAGCTTTTCCAAAATGGTAATGGTAACTTTGTGCCATTTATGGAATTAAAGCTTGGACAAAGACCCTTGGGCTTGGATTAAGGATTTTTCAACTGAGTAAGCATTAAATTATGAAGTGAGAAACAAGTTTGAGACCTGTAAAGCAAGAATTAGGCAGCATAGGTTCCGATTTGAATTTTGTTCTTCATGAAATGGCTTGAATTCAAAGTGAGAAATTGCCAATTTCATCTCTTCGATTCTCCCTACTCAAAAATGATCTCAAGGAGTTCTTGGACATTTTGGAAATCTTGCAATATTATCTATAACTCATCTTTGAAATGCATTTCAATATTCCTCTTAGAACTAGGTGAAAAATTTCTATGAAGTTGGGTCCAAAACCTGCCTAAATTATGGCAAAATTTCACTAAGTTATTTTAGTTCATGGGCATGTATTCACAAAATTATATCTTGAGATCCAAGCATATTTAGGAAAAAAATGTGTGAAGAAAAGTTATAGATTTCATGGGGATCTACAACTTTCATGTTGGGGATTTTCTTTGAATCATCTTGTATCATGATGAAAAAATGGCTTAAAGTTGAGAAAAAATAAGAAATTTTCTATACTTAGAAAAATTTCTAAGTTAAGAAAAATTTCAAATTTCAAAATCAAATCTTCAATCTTTGGTTTATTGATGAACAAGTTTCACATTTTGACATGTTTTGATGAATTGTGATCCTTGGCACTTGATTTTGACCAAAAAGTCAAAGTTTGACTTTTCAATATACAGTTGACTTTTGATTAGTTGACTGTAAATTTCATCTGTCAATCCAATGAAATTGCAGTTTTGAACCATGTCATTAGGTCAAGATGATATAAATGAACCCTTGAAATCATGCTTCAAACCAATTGGTCATTTGTTAGGTCAAAAATCAGAAATTGCCTTTTCTCAATCAAAACCCTAATTTTGACCATTTTGCCCTTTTGATGATTTGATCAAATTTCTTGAGGAATTGTGGTCCAAACTTGATCAAATTATACATATGAGTCTAGAATGTTGATGTGGATAAAAAATTATGAAGTTTGACTGTAAATTAGCCATGGTTGACTTTTTTTCCAATACAGCTGATTTTTAGGTCAACTGTCCAATTGACTGATCAAAAATGTGGTTCAAGGCTTAAAACTTGTCATGAGTAATCTTAGGGGTCCATAATGATGTTTGAAAGTCATATGAAGCATTGATAGTCCAAAAATCCTTGGGAAAACTCAAACCCTAATTTTGGGTCATCAGTGTAAGATGAGATGTCTTGAGTTGATCAAACCCTAATCCAGTCTTGAGTCACAGAGATCTTGTGAGAAAATATTGATAAATGAGAGGGCAAATTTTGGGGTATAACAGCCATATTTAGAAATTTTGAAGAAATGATAAAAAGGTGATCCATGGGCTTGCATGGGTGTATTTGGGAAGTATATTTTGTGCAAGTGGACTAAATATAACCTTTGGGCTGATTAGAAATGGTCCACAATGCAGGAAAACTCAAATTGGCCAAAGTTTCATTTTTGCATGACATAAATGGTGAAATTCCTTCAAAAATTCATAACTTGCTCAACTTATATCCAATGGACACAAACTAGGACATTTTGGAAAGGGAATAAGATTTCCTACAACTTTCGTGCTGAAAGAATTTTGATTTGAATCCATTAAGGTTCACAAAAATGGCCACGAAATATTCTAGGCTGAACCAAAGAACTTGTAAATTTTCACTAAGTGTTGGAATTTTGCATGTTGAAACACCCAACTACAATCCATCATAACTTGCTCAATAATGATTCCATTGAGATGAAATTGGTATGGTTGAAAAGATCAGAGAAAGATGAATATTTTTCATGTTGAGGTTGTTTTAATTTGAAGCTTGAATCTCAGTGGAATTTGACCACGAAAACAACTGAAATTGCATGCAAACTTGCCATATTTGGAAACTTTAGAAAACCTTAATTTTGCCAAATTAGGTAAGTTTCCTCAATTCATGATTTTTTATGATTCTTTTGACATTTCTCGATAAAATTCCCCATATTGGTCAATTTTGACATGTTGTACACAATGCTGACCTCAAAAAGTCAGGAGTTTACTTTTTGACTGCATATTTAACTTTTCCCTTATTCAATTGATTTATCAATCATCTGAGCAATTGAAACTTTTATGATTAAAATTGATGATCAAACTTCCACCCATAGACACTTATGGACAAATATAAGACCATGCATTCAAGTTTATCTCAAAGAACCGGAAATAAATTAATTTTATCACAAACCCTAATTTTGATCGAAAATGATAGAAGGTGATGTATCAAACTCAAAATCCTAATTCCTCTGGTCATGATGAAGAATCTTTTGAACAATGATGTCTTGTATGATGCTAAGAGGATATTGTTTCAAAGAACTTTCCCATGGAGGTTTCACACACCCAAATAAATCAAAATCCTGATTGTGAGCCACCAAGTTAGGAGATGATGACCAATGATGAAAACCCTAACCCTTCCATAGTTTTTGGAGAAAATTTTGCACAATAAGAGCTTTCATATCAATAAGACACTTATGAATATGAAATATCAATCTTCTAAGCCTTTGAGTCATACATTTCTTCTTTTATTGCTGATGTATGTATGATGAGGAAGCATAAGCCTACATAATATTGAAAAATCAAGAGGGAAAATTTTGGGGTACAACACGCCCTTACGGTGTAGTGAATTTCTTAGTCGACTCCTGTGTATCTCTGGATGCTCGTCGGCCTTGATCCTCTTAGGAATTGGAAATCTTCGTTCTTTGTGCAGGGGGGTGCAATCACGCTTCTCAACGACATCAGGTTAGGATCTCTCTAGTCGAGGGCCTTGCCCGATTCAATGAGGAGAGAGGCTCAAATTCATCTCGATGATGTCTCAGTGGGGAGAACGAGAACGAGCGTCTCCTCGGTGTCTTCTGGCGGGGGAGCAGGACCGGAGGGTCCTCTCCAACATTCCAATCAGTTTTCCCTGTTGAAAGATTACATAATTGGTCTGGTTGATTTCCATGAACAAGGCCACCATGGTGGGATCAACGTTAGCGGACACAAGGATTTTTTGGTACATAGCAAGCTCTGGGACCTGTCGGTGAGGGTTGTCGAGAGGGTGCAGACGAGTGGAAAGGGAAGCAGTCGCTCCGTCCTTGAGGTCATGTTGTTCGTGAGTGACATTCTCATTATTTTTGTAGAGGTTCCCAACATCAGTGAAGTGGACAGTTTCGTCACTTTTGTTGTTGTTGTGCTGGTTGGACATGATGCTCGGAAGGTTGAAAGAGTTTGCTTTGGTCTTTAGTTAGAAGAAGATGAGAAAGAAAATGGTTCCCACAGACGGCGTCACTAATCGTACCTGACCAGAATGAATCTTCGGTGGCCTGCAGTGCTTGGACTTCTGCGGTTGTTGAAGTGAATGGGGGTACCTACAAGACACTTTAATGCCAAAGTAAGGTTCTGAGCAAAGTGAAGTATATAGAGTGAGTGGAAATATTGTACCAGATCCTATAGTGAAAGAGAGTATTTATAGCCCTAATCGATGGGCCAAAGTCTCCATTTGGGCTGGACACCCAGGTCCAAAATGGAGACTTCCAAGATCCTACGTGGTTAGAGGAGACCGGTTCATGGTCTTTATCCTGGTTCAATGACACTGCCATTCTCGGAGGTGAAGACTCGTTCTTTTCGGGATCAAAATGATTATGTGATATTCGAAGGACCATTGGCCACGTCCTCTTGTTGGGCACGTGGAAGAGACATTCTCAATGTGCTCGTGGAGGAGATGTCCTCGATGTGCACGTGGAGGAGACGTCCTCGATGTTCTCTTGAGGGAGACATTCCCCAAACGGTTATAGCAATTTCGGTCACTGTAGTAGACCCTCCTCAAAGTAATACTTAGTTGGACTTGCCCAACGGAGGACCAAGTGCAGGCCTAGTCCACAACAGGTTATTAGACCTCTTGTAGTAGTGGGTTGGGCCTTACCCGACGACAGGTTATTGAGCCTCTTGTAGTAGTGGGTAGGCCCAGTCCTGAACAATAATATTAAAAATTGATGTGTTATTGTAAAAAAATTCCAACCAACACACCTACTCATCGTGTGTGTGTGTATATATATATATATATATATATATATATATATATATATATATATATATATATATATATATATATATATATATATATATATATATATATATATATATATATATATATATATATATATATATATATATATATATATATACTCTCTTCGTTCATTTATAATTGTCACTTGTTGTAAAAAAAAATATTTCTATTTAATTGTCGTTTTCAAATTTCAATGTAGTAATTATTATAGTTTGTTAAAATTATCCCAAATTATTTATTATGATACAGAAAAAATTATTTTGAAATGATTAAAAGTTAAGGGTACGATAGACAAAAGAAAAATTATAATCTAAAAAGTAACAATTATTATTAATTTTCTTGATATGTTTAAAATGTCAAATTATGACAACTAAAAAGGAACATAAAAAGTATATTTTAAGAAACTTGACTGTGAATAAATATTAAATTTGAGAGAAAATAAATTTTGTTTGACTAGATTTGAGATAGACCAGATTAATCTAAAAATATTACATATATAGGGAATATTTTACTTATAGTAAATACAATTTTTCTATATATTTTATCATTATTAAATCATAAAAATAAAACAGTAAATGCAATTATTAGTATTATAAAAATGTATATTTTGAATATATTTGTTACTATATTATTATAAAAGTAACAACATTAAAAACAGTGAGACAACGTTTCATTTTTACCGACACAGCTAGAGTTTCACATTTTCAGTCCAAAAAACCTCTCTTTCACTCTCTTTCAAGTCTGAATCTTGTTTTGCGCCAATTCAACACAATGTATGTTGTACCACTTCGATGGTGTCCTCCCAACAACGATTTCGATTCATCTTCACAACAAACACAAACCAGTGTCAGTGAAGTTGATTCTGGGAAGGGCAAAACTTGCCACCAGGTTGATTTATAACTCTCCGTATATTATATTTATATTCAACTTTGATGCTAACATGTTTGTTTTCTTGGATTTCGACATTCAAGTGCCGGCAGAAAACAAGGAATGCTGCTGCAAGCTGTAAAAATCCGAGAAATGGAAAGCCTTGTGTAATTAGGTTTTGCCACAAATGCCTTTTGAATAGGTTTGATTCACCTTTTTCATTTTTAGTTTGGTTTTATATCTAGCACTGTTCTGTTTTGTTACCTAGGTTGAATAATTTATTACGTGTTTGCTTTTTTTATGGTGACGGTTTTTGTAAGTTGAATTTAGATATGGGGAAATAGTAAAGGAGGTAAGTTTGTTGACTGACTGGATGTGTCCAAAGTGCAGAGGCATTTGCAATTGCAGCTTGTGCATGTAAGTTGTGCATTGGTTATTATGTGTTTTGAGGTTTAGAATTGCGGTTTTCGTTTATACAATTGTGTGTTCGTTATGAAAGAAGCGTGACCTTGTAGGAAAAAAAAAGGTCATCAGCCTACTGGTGCTCTTGCTCAGAAAGCCAAGGCATTTGGTTTCAAGTCCGTGTCTGAAATGCTTATAAAGAATGCTTCTGTAGATTTAGAATTGAACAATGTTAATAATGCCGATGTTGTGTTTTCAAAGGAAGCTAATTTGGAAAAGGTAAGTTTCTTTTTCCTCATATTTGTTAGTTGACACCATAAGTTCAGTTTATTTGATGGTTAATAGGATTTCTCTTCATGTAAGCGATTCAAACTAATTACGAAAAGAGAGAAAATGTGTTGATTATCATACTAGTTTTAATGTTTGATTGTTATATACTATATTCCAGGAGCTTGTACTAGATCCATTAGACAAAACTCGGAAAGAAAACTCTTCAGGCGACGTGATTCAGAGTCAGGTGGATGGTCCTGAGGCTTGGGGTACAAATGATTTTTTCTTTGAACCTGCTTCTTTGGCTTCAAATGGATGTTAAAGAATGCTTCAAAGAAATCAGAACGGTAGCACAAACGATTTCAAGTTTTGGTAGTGACACTGTGATTCCCTTCACTAATAAAGCATATTTCTCTTCTGCCTTGTTGGCAAAGCTAAAATAAATGGTAATGTTCCAAAGCCTCCAGTCAATCATTTAAAGTGTCATAATCACATGTACAAGGAAACTGAATCGTAAGCGGGCATCTACCAGATTCTAAATCTACATCAGTTAAACATGTGTAAATACCCTCACAAGAAACATAGCAACCCCTCTGCTGTTATCACACTTCAAACTCTGTAGGATTTCTGATAACTCTACATGCCCGATCGATCAACCTCCAATGCAAAAGCCACTAGAAAATTGTCCTATATGTTCTGGAAAATCCCTTCACAACCTTCAACTGGCTTTGTCCCTCCAATGTTGACAGGGATGCTCTGCATATCTGTGTTTTCTCAAGCTTTTCTAGTGCTTAGGAACTGCCTTGTACTCGTCCATGCCAAAATTGAATAATCTTTAGTGTCCTACCAAGAGAAGACATACAAGTTCCTAATAATATTTTTGAAGTTTACTTTCATACTTTTGCAGTTCAAGTTTAATCATTGTTTTTGTTCCTTTATTTTTGGCATGGTTTACTCCTTCCACAGGTTCTGATGCAAAACTGTCAGCTATTACCACACACAAACATATTCTAAGACCTACACTGTAACACCCCAATTCTATCCCAAGCAATTATGCAAAATAAATCAGAATTATAAATTTCAATCATACAAATGAATCAGGACGTCACAAATTCTTCTAACAAATTCATTGCATTCATTGTGGATATATAACACTTTTTCAAACATCGGGTGAACCATCAACATAACATCTTTAATCAAATAAATCAACATCTACGCAGCAAAATTCTTAATAACACTTCTAACAGAAACAACAACTTCGAAACATCTCATATTTAATAATAATCATTATAAAATTCAACAACTGAAAATCATCAATCAAAACAGCAAGCGTTCATCCTCCCGAGTGTTACATATCAGAGCAATGACACCGACTCGAACTATTGAAGGTATACAGTCTTCACTCTCGATTACCTGCACGTTACCAACATAGGGGCAACATTCAAATAGAAGGGGTGATATATCTAACAATATAATAAGGTGCATGATAATTAATATATTAATTTAGATCAACAACATCACCACTTCTCATCTCATAATCAACAACAATCTCAACAATAATATACATTTATCAACATCAAAATACACTTCTTTATGAAATCATACTATGTGACTCAATACTATGCAAATGCATGTGGTACCATTGGAGCAGAACTCCCATCTCAAAAATTTGCCAATTAATAGAGGCATTAATAAGGCATAACCTTCATCTCAAAATTTGCCAATCCAGACCATCTCAACGAGCATAAGCTCCATCTCAAAAATGCAATGTATGCGACACAACCATGAATGTAATGATAACACCCAAGTTAACGACATCTCAAATCATCTCAAATAATCATCTCAAAACATCTCAAATAATCATCTCAGAACATCTCAAATAATCATCCCAAAACATCTCAAAATACATCTCAAAATAACATCTTAAATAATCAAAATAATTCATCTAACATCTTCATTTATAAATCATCAAACATCATTTTAATATTAATAAATTCTTGTTAATAACACAACAGTATTTAATTCCACAGTAAATCAACACTGTCATCCTGAAACTCTAACGCCAAGACCATCACTTTCCTACTATTATAGCTCAAACAACAGCTTCTAGCATCTAACGTCCACCGTTCAACACAAAACAACGCAAGGGTCATCCAACTTCTGACCATGCAACCTCTAACCAACGCTATTTCTAAGTACACAACTTCTAATGACGCAACCTCTGGCGACACAATCTTCTGACTGCTATAACTTCTGACTAATGCAACCTCTGATCAGATGCAACTTCTGATCATCTCATCTCCTGACTACTATAACTTATGACTAAAGCAACCTATGACCAGATACAACTTATGATCATCTCATCTTCTGACCACTCAACATCTGACCAGATACAACTTCTGATCATCTCATCTTCTGACCACTCATCTTCTGACCACTCACCTCATGACTAATGTCATCTTCTGACTAGTGTAACCTCTGGCCAAATACAACTACTAACGTCAGAACTTCTATTTCCTAGTAATTCAACGCAGCTTCTAACACCTACGTCTAGCATCAGAATTTCTATCTTGCACTAATCTAACGCAACTTCTAACAACTTATGTCTAACTTCAGAATTTCTATCTTGCACTAATCTAACGCAACTTCTATCAGCATCCTTCTAACGTCAGATCTGCTACTTTTCCTTAACGTTATTATTTTAATTCCTTTTCCTGTTATCAACCTAATTAGGAACAATACGCCTAACGCCATCCTTAATTGATTCATTGTTCTGAAACAGCAACACACAATCCTTCCTGCATATTCTGCGTTTTCATAATGGCAATTGTTCTGCGTTTTCTGCACTGCAATAATTCTACGTCTCTTCTTTCCTGTTCATCACTACAGATTCGTACTTAAGGCCCTAAACTTAATCTAATCGCGACAATTCTTCACCATAAATTACCTTCTAATTCTACAGCAATTACATAATATCAATACATCATTATTCATCCAAAAAAAATTCATCGATTCTTTATCACACAATTATATAATTTCAATTCAGGAACAACAACCACCTCTAACCCCACATATCAGTCATCATAAACCCAATTATAGAGTTAGAACCCCACCCTTACCTTGGATTGAATGTCGCTCTACAATTTTCGGTTGGATTCACGTTCTTGCCGTTATTCCTCCTTCTCACGCAGCTTGCACGTTCTTCTTAATCCTTATTTCTTTCTAATGCCTCCTTCTATCCATTCTAACAACAAATAATAAAATAACCCTATTATTCTATTATTTCTTATTGGGCTTAAAACCAACACACCCGCCTTATTACTTCTATCCTCTCAAAATAAGCTCATATTAAATAATATTACACTTTTAATATTATTTCACCACATAATATTATATCTCTAATCACTACAAAAAAGAAGCTTATTTGTCACGTGAAAATCACGTGGCAAACATCAAAATCACGTGGCAAAACAAAAATAGCGACGTGGAGACATATGTCGCTGGGGAGCCAGTAGCGACGTGATTCCCATGTCACAAAGTTGTGACGTGGTATTCACGTCGCAAAAGCTTTGTTTTAGGGAATATACAATCTGACATACAACAGCTTTAGTTGCGACGTGAGAATCATTTCACTAATTTGTGACATGATTCCCACGTCGCTACAGGTGACGTTTTTATTTTTTAAAAAATTGTTTAGTAATTATTTTTTATATTAATTAATTTATATAATAAAATTTAAATAATAAAATTTATATAATAAAATTTAAATAATAAAATTTATATAATAAAATTTAAATAATAAAATTTATATAATAAAATTTATATATTAAAATTATTAGAATAATAGTATTTTATTATATATTCGAATAATAGAATTTTATAAAATAAAGTCATATAATAAAATGTTATATAATTTAATAATTTAAAATGATAAAAATAAATATCTTACATAAATGCAAATTTAAAAACGAAATAAATAAATGTTTTCACGGGGCATCTTCACCCGGATAATTATCAAGATCAAAATCATCAATTCCGTCATCATCCGGCTGTGTATCAGGAACATTTTGATTTCCACCACCTTGCATAAACCGTCTCATCTGCTCCTCCATATCAGATTGCCTCTTCCGCATGATCTCTAACTGCTGCTCCTGCTCTTGCCTCATTGTCGTCATTTGGGCCTCCATTTCGCGTCTCACTTCACTTGCCGCCAATTGTCTTACTGTTTCAAGTTGATCCTGTGTCAGATTCGGTTGACGTGACCCTCCCTCTCCATCTCTAAGTCGTTGAAACAGATTACGATCACCAACTCTCAAGCCGGCGGCCAAATTTCCTCCCGCAAAAAAGTAACCATTAGGCCCTTTTCCATTAACAACCTCATTCCAAATATAGAAATCAACATCACCATTAAGCGGCTCCCCTTCTGCTGGCCTATATTGAGGATTGTGTTCCAGAAAACGTGCAAGCAATGTCTGATAATCATCCTACACATACATTAAATAATAAAATTAAAAAAAAATTTACACACATATATATATATATATATATATATATATATATATATATATATATATATATATATATATATATATATATATATATATATATATATATATATATATATATATATATATATATATATATATATATATATATATATATATATATATAATATATATATATATATATATATATATATATATATATATATATATATATATATATATATATATATATATATATATATATATATATATATATATATATATATATTAAATTTATGCTAAATTAAAACATTTATATATTAAATTATACTAAATTCAAATATATTAAAAATTTGTCACGTGATTTTCACAAATCAACTTATGAATTGCCACGTGATATTCCCGTGGCAATGTATCAGTTGCCACATGAAAATCAGTCACGTGTCAATTTATCAGTTGCCACATGATAATCACGCCACAACTTATAGATTGCCACGTGAAAATAACGTCACTATTTTTGTTATTAACTTAAAAAAAACATAAATTAAATTACTTACAAAAGCTCTCTTTGTGCGCTCGTCGACAAAACCTCCCGATTTCTTTATCCGAGTCCTCGTAATCAACTCAATGATCAATGGTGGTCTCCCCATCTCCTTAGTCTAAACAATAAAGTTAAAAATAATTAGTAAAAAATATTATGAATAAAAATATATATAACTTAAAAAATTAGTAATATTTACCATCCGCCGGACATGCTCTGCAGTGCTAATACTTCCAACAGTATTGACACATCCCCCCTTTTCGGATGCCCTCATCTTCTTAAAATTTTCGGATTTGG